TTTGTAATGTATTTTTTGGGGAAACACTTTAGCTTTACATTTTTTGGAAGCTTTGTAATGGGGTTTTTATCATCATGAATTTCTACTTGTTAATGCACATTTTGTTATTGTGTGTGATGACTGATTTACCTTAGTTTATGACTGGATTACAGATTTACTTTCAAAGCCCTCACAGATAATAACCGTCTATTTTACCCGTTCCATAGAGCTTTAATATATGTGACGACAGAGTTACATAACATTATGCACATACACCATCTTCAGAATCTCATCACATATGTGGGGGTCTTGTATAGCTAAAAACAAAGTTAAAATGCATACATTAGATTTCTTGGTGCTCACATGGAATAACTGTCTATGTCACAGACTTCACAGAGACTTAATGTATTTGAAGACAGAGTTACATCAGGTTTACATTAGTTTATGTGCAGGGAACTCAGAGAAAGTTATCATACTTGTTACATATTTTACACAAAAAGCAAAAAGCAAAAAGGGTGGAACACATCTTGTGTTTTGCTCTTTTTATTTCCTTGTCGATTACACACAAATGTAACACTTCTAGGAGTTCTATCTTTGGCTTTGCGAGTTGTTCTAGTCCGCATTGGAAATCCTACACTTCGAGCATAAACCAGATAGTGTTCTCGAATTTCTTCAATGCTTGTAAACTTCATCCCCACTTCAGGCACGCTACCTTTGTTTCCTTTAGAAGGACATTGACCATTGTTACAGTACCTTTAATATAATAAAATACCTGACTATTAAGAAAACAATAATACACCAAATGCAGAGTGCATACAGATAATTAGCGTCTGTGACAAGGACAAACCCTAGATTCACAGAACTTTAATCTCTGTAACACGAAAACAAAACAGTTTTTTTCACAACTTCAATTGAATATAGAATAGGGTCTAAATATAAACACTTACAACTGGGCTGCAACTCATATAAAACCAGGTCTAAATCTTTGAGACAACACAAAAAATGCAGCAAACCACTTCTCTCTTTTTTTTTTTTGCAGAATCGGCCCTTTTCTTTTTGTTACACGGCAACAAGGAAAAGGAAACAAACTCCTATTTTCCCACTTTGGGTGCAAATAGTACTCCTAAATTAACAAAATAGGGAGTACCTTTACAAAACTGGGTGAAGCAATTTCTTTGTCGGCCGCACGAACGGATCCGGAACGGTTGGGTGCAAAATTGCTCGGTCGTGGGACTTTTCGAACCCGCCGGCGATTGATATGTTCGGATTGATTTTTTGAATCTGCCGATGATTGATAACAATTCAACCGGGATTTTTCGAACCCGCCGGCGGCGACCTGCAAATGGGTCGTAGACAAAAGAAAAAAGAAAAAAGGAGAAAAAGTAAAAAAAAGGTTAAATAAGGAGGCATTAAAGGAGGCAGGGGTGGGTGCACTGTAGCACGGTCCTTCTACCCAACCTCTAACTTGGGTATAATGGAATCCAACAAAAATCAATATGTGAAGACTACCATCTTCCTCTAATCCTCTCCTTATCCACACTCACTCCCATGGAATTAATTACAACCACAAACACACAAAAGTCACCGGAGTGAAGTAACAAGATACACTGAGAGAAGAATAACAGAGGCTTTGTTATTTGTATATGGCGCAAACCATGCTGCTCCTCATCTCTGCTTCTTCTTCTTCTTCTGCATTTGACCTCAAGAGACAATCCACCTTCTTCTCCATTCAACCCTCCATCATTCATTCAAACTCTTCTTCTTCTTCTTCATTTCCTCGACATTTTCTTCCCTCCAAACCCTATTCTTCTTCTTCTTCTTCTTCTTCGAGAATTTTCGCTCTCTTCAAAACGAAGACCAAAGCCCCACCACCCAAAAAGGAAATTTTCGATCTAAACTCCATCATTTGCTTATTTATTTTTAAAATTTATGCATTTATCAAGTGCTACCGAGTGATTTTGGTTACTAACAATGATATATCATGAAATAAATGCAGGTTTCAGAGAGCAAGCCCAAGGTGGAGGATGGGATTTTTGGGACCTCGGGAGGAATTGGGTTCTCTAAGCAAAATGAACTCTTTGTTGGCCGTGTCGCTATGATCGGTTTCGCGGTTCGTATCCTTTTCTATTATCAACCTCACTCATTCTAATACCATGTCAAGAAACTAACCTTAATCAAGAATTCTTCAAACTTGTTGTGGATGAAGGTCGAAAGAAAGAATTTTTAGTCTAATAATGGAGTACTTTTTTGTACTATCTATGATGTATAAACTTTAGCAGAAAGATTTAACTCACACTACCAAGTACCAACAAACCTTTTGTCTTAGTTAGCATTGTGGAACAAACTACAAACTTTACTGTGATGAAACTTGGTACTACTACAGTAAGGTTTTTTTTTTTGTACATTGAGGATGTTGTTGCTACTATCATACTCCTCTCTATATTGTCTCTTTGGGACACATTCAAGTTTCATAAATGTGTGCACATTAATCTCCCCGTTTCTTTTCAAGGAAAAGAATTGTTTGGTTCAAGTCACATTTCTCTTCTATGTATAAATTTCAACCATACTATTTCAAATCTCTTGAACTTCAAGTAAAAAGAAAAGAGAAGATTAAGTAGAGAGGAAATGATTGCTATTATAAGTCCGGTTCTTCTGACACCAAGGAAATGTGTCATACTATGACACCTGTCTATTTGAAGACTCTATGATGCTTCGTTCGACAACAAAGTGGTTCTTATCATCACAGTCCCCCCCCCCCCC